GACAGTATCAAACAGCATATCAATTCCACAAGCCTCAAAAGTTACAACCAGGTTTTACGGAAGAAAGATTCAAGTATGGGATCAGCAATATTGTAGTATTTGTCATAGTTTTTTTTATATACAATAAGGTGACCTTGTGCTGCTTACCTAATGTTCTCAGGACTCATAAAGATATTTTTGGTTCCAGGTGTGGCATTAACGGATTCCCCATCCGGTCTTCTGGCTTACATCCTGGAGAAGTTCTCAGTATGGACTCGTCGTGATCACCGCCACAAGGCAGACGGTGGCCTTGAGTTCCGCTTCACCAAAGCGCAGCTGATCGACAATCTTATGATGTACTGGACCTCGAACTCTATCACCACCTCCATGAGATTGTACTCTGAGGAGATGAGCAGGAAGAACCAACAGCTGGAAATTGGAGAGTAAGTAATCTCAAATGTGTACTGCTAACAATTAAATTCAAATTTGGAAAATTGTCGTTTTAAGAAGCTATCAATAGATGGCGTTTTCTAACGATTTTTTGCACTGCAGTCGTAACCTTTAATATTTTCATCTACAGATATCCAAGCCCAGTACCGACTTGGGCACTACAAGCTAAATACGAAGCTATGTATCAACCCCCTGGTATCCTAAAGCTTAAATTCCCTAATCTTCTGGGCACAACGGTGACGGAAGATGGTGGGCACTTCTTCGCCTTGGAACTGCCTCAAGTTTTCGTTAATGATGTCTTTAAAGCTGTCAACGAGTTCAGGAATTGGCATAAGAAGACTGCAAATACAGAGTTATGAAATGTATAGAAATGCTTTAATTACATTCTTTAATTTATTTCTAAGGAATAAAAACGATTAAAAAGAACTTACCTCTTTCATTTAAGAGTCTTGTATTGGAGACATTTGTTTAGAATTGTACCTTGAAATCCTACTAAGAATATAAATGCGGAAGTTTAAGACGTGTGTTACTATCTGCAAAACTGTTTAACGGGTTTGGCATATTTTTTTTTATAACATAAGGTGGCAAACGTGCAAGCGGCCGCCTGAATCCGCCAAAACGGCGAAGCGACCGGTGCCCATCGACATCCGCAATTGCAGATGTGTTGCCTACCCTTATCCGACGGAGGAAGAGACGTACATAAAGAGGATATTTTCCCTTCCTTTGCATCTCTTCCACCATCAAATCCACTTCCCCTCCCCATCCTCTCCTTATAAGAAAAGGGTGGTAAAGAGAAAGGGACTTACATTAGGCCTCCGGCACTACACTCATCAGACGAAACACGGAATTGTTTCCATTTCACGCCTGTCTTCTGTGTGGTCGTGGTATTACACCGGGCGTGCCGACCAATTCGTGCTAAGATGTTAAAGCGGGCACTACCACTGTAAAAAAACATATATTTTTTGGACAAGGTCGCGGGCAAAATCTAACAGTTTTAAATTATCTAAGTTCCTTATAGCTTATAGCGATATAATGTGTTGTCAAAATAGATGTAGGAAAAACCTTGAACTTGGTTTACAAATGCAGAGTCACGCTCAGTAAAACAGAATTTTATTTTTATTGTGCAACATCTTGTGTAGGGTCACCATAAAATTTTCAAAGATATGGATAGTAGGAATATTTCAAATACGTCATTGTTATAAAACTTATGGAGTATGTACACTTCTAATGTGATAATTTACTTCTTTACCTTTTTGTGATTTAGTTAAAAAATTAAGCGTACATTTTATTTTTCTATATCAGATTAATATTGCGGTAAAGGCTGAATTCAAAATTATTTTTAAAAATAAACGATTTTAAATCTAAAAATACGTTTGTTTTATAATGAAACTAATATTAAAATATATTTGTAAAAAATTTAATAGTGTTGTTACCCTACGGTACTAAGACGTCTAGTCTCTATCAGTTCAGTGGCCATGAGATACGGTACGTAGTCTGTAGTGTTAGTGATTTCAACATTATTTAACATCTAAGTTTTTTATATCTACAATTATAGTGAAGATTAGTCTTTTATGGTAAGCCTTATAACGTCGATTTATATGAATATATACTTCTTCATCTATCTATGTTAATACTTCTATATTCTAGAGACTAGACTACTATGTTAAAACGTAAACACACACTACTTAGTTACGTAGGATGTCAGCAGTCACAGTATATTTTTAAATCATTATTTTTTATTAAGTTATATATTTTCACGGTAAGCACGGTAACTTAAAAAGTAAATTGGCGGGAAAGGTAAAAAACTATATCACAGAAACCAGATTTTGAAATATTACTTTTATTTAAAAAAAAAAATGAACACAGTGATGATCGGAAGAAATAAAAGTTGTTAAAATCGCCGTAAACCGTAATCGTTTTACGCAATGTTAGCACTTCATACGCAGACTTTTAATAATCTGTGGCATTCTTCGACAATTATTTAAAGTTGTCAAATTCAAATTCAAAGGGATGCGAAGTTTAAAACATTTTTGCACTAGTAAATGACTTAAATATTGTAAGTGCAGTGGTAAGTGTTATTTTAATTTTATGTTTGTAATCGATTATACAAAATTCGTTCTTTTTGTTTTTTTAGAAGTTTATTTTGTGAAACCTTACTGTACATATAAGTAAATGTTTATTTTGCGATATTCTGTAATAAATGTTTAGTGTAATAGTTTACATTGGATTGCAGGTGATGACAAGTATTATGAATTTAGTAAATCAACGTATAAACAGCTAAAAGATTAAATGAGAAAATGGATGAACTTAACCTCAAAGTTTGCCAAGAAATGCGCAGTTTTATTACAGAGAAACATATTCAAATCTAATATGACTGTATATAAACTGTAATAAACTATAGCACCGAAAACTTCTACAAGTAAAAAAGGTAAATCACTAAAATTTAGAGTCCTTTGTTGTATATTTTATTCTGAAAATAGATGGGGAGACTGTAGAGGCTTTGGTAGACGGACATAGACATAGAGGTACTAATTGAGACCTGATAGTTTTGTGAAAGTGTACTATGTTTCCTCCCATACCATATTTTGCAAAATTAATAATTTTTTTTATAATCACACTGTATTTTACTAAACATACTTGCAGATATCTACTTTGTTGTAATTTTTTTGTTTAAATGAAATCAAAAGAACTATAAGTAATTTTGGATTAAAATAAAATTATATCCACACTTATTTTTTTTTATAACATAAGGTGGGAAACGAGCAAGCGGACACCTGAATCTGCCAAAATGACGAAGCGACCGCTGCCCATAGACATCCGCAATTGCAGATGCATTGCCTACCCTTATCCGACGGAGGAGGAGACGCACATAAAGAGGATATTTCCCCTTCCTATGCAACTCCTCCACCGTCAAGAAAAGGGTGGTAAAGAGAGAGGGTCTTAACTTAGGCCTCCGGCACCACACTCATCAGACGAAACACAGAATTGCTTCCATATCACGCCTGTCTTCTGTGTGTTCGTGGTATTACACCGGGCGTGCCGACCAATTTGTGCTAAGATGTTAAAGCGGGCACTACCACTGTTGAACTTAGATCCATACAAGTAGAAGAAATAAATGATTCTGAAGAAAGTAATTGGCATATTTTTTTTTTTTCATAAATAATGCAAAATTTGTACTCAGTGTTATGAAAATTCATGCAGACAAAGCTGCATGGGAACAGCTAGACACAGTAAAAGGGTTTATGTATTTGAAGTGAAGTATATGTGACAGTGGCTAAGCCTCCTTTAGCATCTTCAAACAATGTCTAGCTCTCCCGATGCAATACCACGACTACACAGAAGACGCATGAAGTGGAAGCTATTCTGTGTACAGTCTAATGAGTGTGGTGCTGGATGGCCAATTTTAGTCCCATTCCACCCTTTTTTTATAATTGGACTTGATTGGAAAGTGGATTTGATGGTGGAGGTGTCGCATAGGAGGAAATATCCTCTTTATGTGCATCTCCTCCATCGATTTATGGTAGGCAACGCATCTGCAATTACATACATACATATACATCCATATGGGCAGCAGTGCCTTCACCATTATGACAGATTTAGATGACCATTTGCTTGTTTGCTATCTTATTTTATACATATAAAAAAGTAGCATGTATTAGAAACACTGTCTTAACACTTTTTTGACACAACTGTTCACTGAGAGATGTTAGTTGTTACTAGTCTTGGGTAGTACACGTACGATGTACTAAAAAGTAATGTTACTCGGCACTGTACTAAAAGTAATGTTACCGAACGGCTTCTGTTAATCGGACATTTAGTACTTTTAGTACACTACACGATATCGGTGTTCGCCTTTTTGTCAGATTGAAGCATCCACCTTCGATAATGAGTATCAAAAGTGGATAAAATTATTCATAACTAAATTTATTTTCGCTAATAACATATGTTTGACCCTGCTTAAAATTTGATGTGAAGTAATATATAACGCTCGTTATATTCTATTCATGTATTGTGTTTTCACAAATCTGAAGTACTAAAGGTACTAAAAGTGTGTACTAGTACGTTTACCCAATTGTACTAGTACGGTGCGCACTTGCAGATGTCCGATTAAGCCCAAGACTAGTTGTTACTACTTTTTCGTTTGTCATTTTTATCATATAATTACAAAAGGAATATCCATTAATGATAATGTAGAATCATCCTCCGATTTAATTTTTTTAACAAAATTGTGTCATTATACAGTTTATGCAGTAACATCATGTTCAGTAATTTTAGAATGAAAGTAGGGTCACCATGATTTTGACCAAAAAATAGGACACACTTGAAACAAATCCCATACAACATAACTACTACAGATCCTATTACAAGTACAAAAAAATTAAAAAAAAAATTTGAACATAAAGGGCTACAATTCTTCCATACATCATTTTTATGTAAGTCTTATAGTTTAGGCTACGTAAGTAAAGAAAGCAAAAATGACCCGAAATTTCGTCGCGCGATTTTGAGCTAAACTATTTAACTACGTCGTAGTCTTTGACTCCAAAAATCAAACAAAAAAATGGGACCCACCTGCAAGCATTACCTTTCGGATAAAAAATGAATTATCAAAATCGGTCCACTAGCGGCGGAGTTATGCCGTAACACACATAAAAAAAAATAAAAAAACATACAGACGAATTGAGTACCTCCTTCTTTTGGGAAGTCGGTCAAACAAAATATCAAATAACTGAATTCATAGTTTAATTTAAGTTTAATTACAATATAAAAAGTTTACGGCTTTCGTGTTAGTGTTTGTCCGTGCTATTTTTTAAATAAATGGTGATACTATTGTATTACTTTTGCTAGTACGATTTATCTTATCACCATGAGTTCAGGAATCGCTTTTATCACAGTGACAGGGTTATTTCACCAATGTTTAAATATCGTTACATGTCAATATTTCATACAGTTTGTGTTGATTAGTGTAGCAAAAAATACACAATTTAAAGGTTTTTGTATGAATAAATTCACAGACGTAAATTATCTGCATCAAAACAGTAGTCTGTAAAATATAGTAGGGTGGCCATACTAGTAAATTTTAAGGACAGTGTATGTGATTGTGGATCACATTCGAGTCAACAATCGTACTAAGGTAACTAAGGATCTTTCAAGAATCGAGCCTATCGCTTCTTAAGGCCAACAATGTATCTACAATATCTCTGGTATTGCGAATGTCTATGGGCATCGATGTCGATGGTCACCTTAGTGTTATCACTAATTGTTTGCTCCCTTCTCTTATACAGGATGATTCTTAGCGGACGGATCACAAGCTTTGTAGAGAAATTTTATTCTCGTGCCTGAATTCCAATAAAAGGGATCCGAAAGCCCAATTATTAGACTTGTTTAAGAAAAAAAAATCCTGTTAACACATTGTTATGGATGTACAGGCAATTTTTGTTTTTTACAAAAGATTTTTTACCTTTTTTTTTACAAAGTTATTTTTACAAAAATTATACCTAAAACTATGAACGGGCATCAAACTTTGCGGTTAAACGATAGCTATCGAGGTCCTGTAACTCTACAAAGCCGTTGATCCGTTCGTTAAGAATCACCCTGTATAGAAAAATACACGAGAAATCGCTTCATAAAGCAGATGAAGTTACAAGTGTTACCATATTCCATCTCTTGTATCCAATTTCCGAGTCGACCTGTACACGGCCATTTTAGCAACTACATAACTTGACAATGTATTTTGACTATCGTATATTTGATCACTACACAGTTGTGCGATATTTATTTTTATTTAACTAAATAAATTCTCAAATAATAATTTAAATGTGTTTACAGATGGCCAAAATCCTGCTCGGATTTGGTGCCCTAGTGGTAGTCTACATAGCGTGGTCAGCTCTCTCTAGTGAATCTCCTAAACGTCTAGAAATAGATCAAAATGAATGGTGGGGACCAAACGAACTCAGAGGCAAAGAGGACACCAGTATAAAACCTTTTAAAGTACAGTTTACTGATGAGGTATGTATGATTCATAATAATAAAAATAACATTATTGAATCCCGGAAATATGTGTGGTTACCATAGTTATATGTTTGATTTCTCATTAAATTTGATTTACACAATAAATCCGAAACGCAGCAACACAATTTTTTCTAAAATTCTGAGGTTTTTCGATTTTATTAACTGTACAAATAAAATTGGTTTTAGAACAAAGAGGCTGCTGAAAGAATGACAATAATATTATACAACGCCATCTTTCGAATAGAACTGTAATTTAAAAAGTGTTTTAAACGGAAAAAAGATGGCGCTGTACTCAAAATTAATGCCAAAAATTAATAAAAGGAAATCCTATTTTCAGATGATTAAAGACCTTAGAAACCGGTTGAAGAATCATCGACCGTTCACTCCACCTCTAGAGGGTATAGCCTTCCAATATGGATTTAATACCAAAGCAATAGAACCCTGGATTAAATACTGGGCTGAGGAATATCCATTCAAAGAACGGGAGGCATTCTTCAATAAGTTCCCGCACTACAAGACTAATATCCAGGGTTTGGATATACACTTCATTAGAGCTAAACCACAGGTAATATATAATTCAATCTGCTACACGAGTTTAGAAAAAAAAAACTACAGCTGCTAAGATTAGCAGCAAGATAGACTATGTCACAGAGATTTAAAATATATATAGAGTAGGCATAGCTGACATTTCAATTGAAACATTTTTCAAAGAAACTATTGAAAAGCACATTTTTAAATTGCCAATAGATGTCATTAAATAATAAACGTTTCTATATGTTTTTAAGACTCATTTAGTTTATTTTATTATAAAGGGATCTTATAATTTAGTCAAATATTTTATTACATGTCAATACACACGAGGTGGCACAAAACTACTGATATAGCACCTTTCAAAGAAAGTACCAGTGAAAAAGTTTTGTTTACTGCCTCGTCTAATTATTTTAATGTCTACACTATTTTGATTTTTGTAAACCTTTTGTTCCAGGTCCCTTCAAATGTGGAAATAATACCTTTACTAATAATGCACGGCTGGCCGGGCTCCGTGCGGGAGTTCTACGAGGCTATACCCATACTGACACAACAACAGCCAGGCTATAACTTCGCATTTGAAGTGATTGCCCCTAGCTTGCCTGGATTCGGTTTCTCAGACGTAAGTATATCTTATTAAACACTAGCTGTTGCTCGCGACATCGTCCAAGTTAAATTTAAAAATGTAGCCTATGTTACTTACAAAATTACCTTTCTAACTGTGAAATTTTAAATATCGGATTATAGTTTTTGAGTTATTTCAGTATTTACAAAATTTTCCTCGTTAAAATGTTATTAGCGTAGACAACTGCGAAATTTTAGATGGATGTTTGTAAGAATTAGTTAGAATTTGTAGCCTAAGCTGAACGGATCTTGATGAAATTTGGTATATAAGTAGAGGATAGCCTGGTAGAACACATAAGCTATTTTTTGAAGTTAGTAAATAATGTTTTTTTTTAAATCAGGCACCGGTCCGACCTGGGTTATCAACGACACAGATGGCGGTGATTTTCAAGAAATTAATGAAGAGACTTGGCTTCGAGAAGTTCTACATCCAAGGCGGAGACTGGGGCTCCTCCACCGGCGCAGCCATGTCCACTTTATACCCTGAAGATGTACTAGGGTTCCATACAAATATGGCCATTGCACAAGTAAGGAATTTTTTTATTAACTGTGTAATTAAATGTATCTTTGCCTGCTGAATGGTTTGAAAAATCACTATGGCAATGAAGCTTTGATTATTGTCAAACAGCGCCATCTATTTTACGGCAGTGTAAATCACGTATTTCTTTGTTAAGAAATAACATTACCGTTTGTCAATAATTTAGCAAAAGATGGCGTTAAATTTAGTTAATTTTTTATTTACAATATTCGGTTGACATTTCTAATTATTATTATTAAAATATACCATTAATGAAGACATATAGTTTTGTTATTAGTTTCTTGAATTTGATCTTACTTATTTTTTTATAGGGTAAATAATATGGTCACAATGGTGTTTAAAGTTTGCCCTTTAGCTATCAAGCAGCGCCATCTATTTGACGTTGTTGTAAGTGAAACCTATTTGGTGTTTTGCAGTGTAAGACTGGCCGTATTTAAATAATGACATAATGTTAATTTAATTTTGACTTGTTCGAATGTAGAGAAAAAGAACATGTCTAGAATAGTATAAAAATAATATCTTGTTTTTATACACCGTTGTATTGATATTAATTTATATGAGAATAAATAACAATCTTTATTTATTTAATCATTTTTGTGTGCTGGCTAAACCAAATTACTATCAGACGTCAGTGTAACTATTTCAATACTGATAAATTACTTTACCACCTGTCAATAATTTAACAATAGATGGCGTTAATTTTAATTTTTAATGACAAAGCTGTGTGAAATTTTTTTTTATTATAACGACATATAGTTAGTATAATTCTGTTTAAATTAGTTTTTATTTGGATTACATCTTACTTAAATTATTGTTTTCAGGGTAAACAGGGTGGTTTCAAAACAATGATCGGCGCTTTCTTCCCATCTTTAGTGGTGGAGAGTCACCTCGCAGACAGAATGTATCCTTTATCGGATTTCTTTGCTTTTATAATGGAAGAATTTGGATATTTCCATCTTCAGGCAACCAAACCTGATACAGTAGGTATGTATATTTCAGATTCGCCTATTATTTAACTTGACTAAGTTTTTTTGAAGTAAAAAAGAACAGATCACTTCAGAAGATTGTTTTAATTTATACTAATACGAGCTGTTGCCCGCGACTTCGTCCGCGTGGTATTAGACAACATACAAACTATATAAATTACAAAAAGCTACGTATCCCTCGGGAACCGGACATTTCTCGGGGATGAATCTCATCCCATGTGTACTCCAGACTTTGTTTTACATCTGTGACAAATTGCAATAAGATATATTGAACCGTTGCAGAATGTTTGAGTAAACATTAAAAAACTAAATTAATGAATCCCACGGGAACCGTAACTATTCCCGGGATAAAAAGTAGCCTATGTGTTCTTCCAGACTACGCTCTAAACCTGTGCCAAATTTCATGGAGATCCGTTCAACCGTTTAGGCTACAAATGCTAACAAACATCCATCCATCTAAACTTTAAAGAGGAAAGATTTATATTTTTGTATGTATTGAAATAACTCAAAAACTACTGGACCTATTATAAAAATTATTTCAAATTAATTTATCTTTGAGTAACTTAGGCTATGTTTTTTTTATTATTTTTTAAATACCACGGGGATATAGTTATTTATAGGAGGGAAGCAATTTAAATAAAAAATAAAATTACTAGATGTTGCTGTTATATGATATATGAATAAACTTGTGTAGTTTGGCGACTATCTGTGGCAGTATCTTTTTTGTTACATAAATAAATCTTATTTCTGATTAATATTATAAATGTGAAAGTATAGATAGATGTTTGTTAGAGTTTGTAGCCTAAACAGCTGAACGGATCTTGATGAAATTTGGTATAGATTTAAAGGATATGGAAGACCACATAGGCTACACTTTTGATTTTTTTTAATCCCACGCAGACGAAAGCTAGTATAAATAAAATAAATTGGCTTTGAGATTTGCTGTTACATTTTCTTCATCAGTCAGAATTACCAAATTCTTCGTGTTCCCAGGTGTTGCATTAACAGATTCACCTTCCGGTCTTCTCGCGTATATTCTGGAGAAGTTTTCCACCAACACCAACCGCGACCACCGCAAGCTGCCCGACGGAGGTCTGGAGAGACGCTTCACGAAGACGCAGCTCATTGACAACCTGATGGTCTACTGGGCCACCAACAGGATCACCACCTCCATACGGCTGTACGCCGAGGACACCAGCAACAAGAACAGACAACTGGAAATAGACGAGTAAGTCTTAATGTATGGATATTGAATGAAATGCGTCCTCCCTAAATATAGCTTCCATATATATAATCTGTACTAATATTATAAAGTTGATAAATTTGTATTTATGTATGTATTTAAATAACTAAAAACTACTGGACCGATTTTAAAATTCCTTCAATATTAAAAAGCTAAGTGAGTAACTTAGGCTAGATTTTTCAATTTCACTTAAACGAAGTCGCAAGCAACAGCTAGTATTATATAGTCAACTGTTGCACGCGACTTCCTCCGTGTGGAATTAAAAAGATAACTAAAAAACCTAGCCTAAGTTACTCACTTAGCTTTTTAATGTTGAAGGAATTTTAGAATTGGGTTAGTTTTTGAATTATTATTATTACCTCCTTATACTTATTCCATATATCTTTATTTCTTATTCTCTACATAATACATTTTACAAGATTTGTATAAAAATAAAATAAAATACATTATATAGTAAATAGATATCTATTTATATCATTAATAATATAGATTTAAATAGATCAAGAAAACCCACGGAATACGAGTAGTATGTAACCTTACCTCTTAAATAATTTTAGCTTACAAGAAGCCAGAATATAACTAGTTTTTGGGCTATATTTTTTAATAAAAAAGTAGCGTCTTTAATAATATTAATTCTAACTTTGTAATTCAATTATTTATTTGTCAAATCTCTCAATGTTTTTTAAGCTTTGATCCACGATTAAAATTTACTTGATTCCAACAAAGTTAGGTGTATTTATATTGTTTTTTTTTTAATTATTCGAGTGTAAATAACGATTTTTTTCTTAGTTACCCAACTCTGGTACCGACATGGGCTTTCCAAGCGAAATACGAAGGTGTCTACCAACCTCCAAGTATTTTGAAGACAAAATACGAAAATCTTCTGGGAACCACAGTTTTAGAAGACGGAGGACATTTCCTGGCGTTCGAATTACCAGAAATCTTCGCCAAAGATGTGATCAAAGCTGTCAATGAGTTTAAAAATTGGCACAAAAGTCAACCGAAGACGGAATTGTAAATAATACAATAAAGTTATTTTTTACTAATAAACTGGTTTTTTTACCTCGTCTAAAGAAATCAGATACAAAAATGGGTTTTCAAGGTTGTTTTTTTTATAAAAATTAAGCTTGAGGGATATTGTAAGAAGTGATTTTGACCACTTATTCATTATCAGTAGGTGATTATTATGCACTATCAAGCTAACCTAGTTGGACAAGATTAGGGTTACCATTCTTATGTACAAAAATCAGGACAATAAAGCAATAATTGCGAAAAAACCTTTAAAAAATAGTTAACCTCATCAAATATGAGACTGATCTGACCAATTATTTTAGGCAAAGTGTCCACTTGCCACTTTAGTGTATTTTTGGCTGTATAACCTATTCTCAATGTCTAAAAGTTTTAGCCCTAGACCTAAGTTTAGAACCCATAACAGACAGCTATAGACAGACGTCGATAGCTGTCTGTTATATAGACATATTTGGCTGAAAATTATCATGGTTTCTAAAAGTCGATTTTAAAATAGCAGTCCCATCCCGCTCGGCAAGTATGGACATTTTTTTGATCCTAATATGATAAATGCGAAAGTTTATATAGATGTTTGTTAGAGTTTGTAGCCTAAACTGATGAACGGATCTCGATGAAATTTTGCAAAGATGTAGAGTATAGTGTGGAAGACACATAGGCTACTTACTTTAGTTTTTTTTTTATTTCACGAAAGGATACGCGGGCGGAAGTTGGTATCACATGATATTAAAATAAAGAATATTTTACTCACTGCTAATGCAGGTTTTTAATGTCAAAAGAAGTTTTTAAATCGTTCCAGTAGTTTGTGATATTACATACAAAAACATAAATCCTTTATAACATTAGTATAGAGAAATAAATCTAGATTATTCAGCACTGACACTTTTTTTTTATTCCGCGCTGTCAAATGACGACCGGACCGCTATCACGAACGGGTAGACCGATTTGGACGGGACTTTAAAAGGTAGCTGTTAAAGTGCACACTGGAATGTTCTGATAACGAAATTTGTTAGGACAGCTGGTTTCAATAATAAAGATGGAATATACCATTTTCATTCGAATGTGGCCACCCTATTACAATATCGATCGCGTCATGTCGACGAATCATTTTCAGCGCGCGTCCAGCGAACGCGCTTGTTCATAGTGAGTTAACAATTTTGTTGTTTAAATAACGTTATTCAAATATTGTTTTTTATTAGTAGTGCTAGTGGAGACCTATAAAAAGGTAAATAAATCTTACTAATATTATAAATACGAAACTTTAGATAGATAGTGGGAATGTTTTAGAAAATCGTGTATAATTTATAAAACAATTAATTTGCCGGCTAACTATGTAATAAGTGCAATAATACTCCATGTAAGTGATTTTGATATTGTCTTTTTAAGAATTAAGTCTTTAAACCTAAGACCTATGTTTGTAGCCTAAACTGCTGAACGGATCTAGATGAAATTTGGCATAGGTAGAGGATAGTCTGGAAGAATACATAGACTACTTTTGTTTTTTAAATACAAAGCGTACAAATTCGCGGAGTAAAGCTAATAATTGAATAATACAATGTATTTAAGTTTTAAATGTATATGATGTTTCTGTGTAGATATTTTTAAAACGACTTATTTTTTGTACCGATTTTTATGCTAATATTATTCTTGAGAACGAAGTGTGTTTTCCGTGACCGTGAACAAAATAGTCATTTATGGAATACTAGCTCGGGTTTTCCTCCGCGCGGAATAATTGTAATTAATGTAGTCTACTAGTTTTCGCCCCCGACTCTGTCCGCGTGGAATAAAAAAAACAAAAGTAGCCTATGTGTTCTGCCAGACTATCCTCTAAACCCATGCCGAGTTTCATCAATCGGTTCAGCAGTTTAGGCTACAAACTCTAACAAACATCCATCTAAACTTTCGCATTTATAATATTTGTAACGTTACTCATTGACAACGTATTGGTGAATGAATTTTTAAAATCGGCCTAGTAGTTTTTGAGTTATTTCAATACATACAAAAATACATTTTTTCCTGTATATTAGTACAGATATAGAAAAAAACGCTAAAAAATGCAAAACAGATATCATATCGCTGGACAAAACTATTTAGCATATATTAACTGATAAACACACAAGGGGAAGAGAATTCATCACATAAAAATATTGCGGTCTCACTTTTTCCTGAATGCAAGAAAGAGATAACAGCATATTACTTTATGTAAATTCATGGTACATTACGGAAGCATGCAGACGAAAACACATAGAGAAATAGATACAAAAATCATTGTTAAGGATGATTCGCAAAAGATACATAGGTTTTTAATGATAAAATCGATATATCTCAGGGGTTTTTAACAATTGGTATATTTCATCACGCGACTTATTTTAGTAACATCTTTCCATCCTTATCTTCAGTCCTTATTTACAGTGGTAGAGCCCGCTTTAACATCTTCGCATGAATGGGCCGGCGCGCCCGGTGTAATACCACGACCACACATAAAACAGGCGTCAAGTGGAAGATTCCGCGTTTTGTCTGATGAGTGTGTAGGAGGCCTAATTTTAGTCCTTTTCCCTTTGAACTCTTTCTAAAGAGGAAAGTATGGGAAGGACAAGTGGATTTGATTACGAAATATTCACAACTAGCTGTTACTAGAACTCGCCCTCGTGAAATAAAAAAAACATACAAACGAATTGAGTACCTCCTTCTTTTGGGAAGTAGGTCAAAATAGCCTATGTTACTCATTGATAACGTAGTTTTTAAATAGTGATAGAATTTTTGAAATCGGCCCAGTAGTTTTTATTTCAATACATACAAAAATACAAAAGAACAAATCTTTCATCTTTATAATATTAGTATAGAGTATAGATAAAAAGATTACTTAATGAAATGACTTTAAAATTATAAAAATAGCACTTTGATTTTTAAAGGTTTACTACCTCTGATCTGTCTTGTAATATATAATTAACAGCATATGTTGTTTGCAGAATTAACTTCACAAATGTCTAAAGTATTGTTCGGCTTGTTGGCCGTTGTAGCGGCTTACATCTGTTGGTCAATATTCAGCACCGGGTCATCACAACCGCCTAGACTAGACCCTGAAGAATGGTGGGGGCCGAAGGAACTAAAAGGCAAGCAGGATACGAGTATAAGGCCGTACCAAGTTAAATTTACTGATGAGGTAAGTTGGACTTTGTTTTATTATAATGACTAACAAAAGTAAGATTGACTCTTAGAATTTATGTTTTAAAAGTTTATTTTAAAACTAGTTCTTGCTCGCGACTTCGCCCGCTTTAAATTAGATAAGTAATAAATAACATAGCCTTTCTTACTCACTGATAACGTACTTTTTAAATAGTGAAAGAATTTTTGAAACGGCCCAATAGTATTTGAGATAAATAAAAAATACAAATCTATCCTCTTTATATTAGTAGTAACTTTCGCCCGCTACTCCGTCCGCATGGAATTAAAAAAATAAAACGTACTCAGTTTTATTTTTTTTTTAATTCCACGTCTTCTTCAGGAATATCCTCTGCATCTATGCCAAATTTCGTCGTGAACTGTTCAGCAGTTTAGGCTACAAACTCTAACAAACATCCATCTAAACTTTCGCGTTTATAACATTAATAAGATATTTTTGCAATTGCTATCAAAAACGTGATCTATTTCACGAAAGCTATCCATATAATGTAAATAAAGCCTTATTTTAAATTTGGATCGATTGATTAGGATCGAACGTTTCGGCATTTATTTAAAAAAAAACACACTTGAAAACATGAAAAAAAGACTTTTTAAACTTTTCTTCAGATCTGGTAACGAGAATTTTCATTCCATATTTTTTTCACAGATGATAAAAGATCTAAGACATCGTTTGAAAAACCATCGTCCGTTAGTACCGCCTTTAGAAGGTATCGCATTCCAGTACGGTTTCAACAGCAAAGCGATAGAACCCTGGCTGAAGTACTGGGCTGAAGAGTACCCATTCAAAGAACGGGAAGCGTTTTTGAATAAATATCCCCATTTTAAAACGAATATACAAGGTCTTGATATACATTTCATACGAGTTAAACCACAGGTAAGATTATAATTTCGTTACGAAATGATCCAAAGAGATTAAAAAATACACAGAGTAGGCATAGACACCACTCGAAATATTTGTCACATAATTCTCACTATGTAAATAGAACCTTAAAACCATTAGGTTATTATATTTAAAAATATTTTAATGTTTACATTTTTTTTTGCAAAATACGCGCCAGTCGTAGAGTTGCGGATACCTTAGCCCCTTCCATTACTACATTTTCTTTTGTAATATTGTTTAGTTTTATAACAAAAGATGGAGCTTATTATGATTTTGAAAAATGTTTTATAATTTGCCTATACATGAGGTACTAAACTTGACAACTAACATATTACCTTTTAAAGAAGTTACCGGAGAAAATATTGTTGACTATGTCTAGTCTATATTATTCTTAATATCTGCATGCTACACTCCGACAAGGATCTTTTGTTAAATCAGTGAAACTTTTTGATATCGTCAAAGAGCATTAACTAGCAGTTTCTCTTGCTGGTTTATTTCGTACTAACACTGATTTGACTCACGACATTTCAATCAGGTACCAGCAGGAGTGGAAGTAGTGCCTCTACTCTTAATGCACGGCTGGCCGGGCTCCGTGAGAGAGTTCTATGAAGCTATACCTTTGCTGACTAAACAACAACCAGACTATAACTTTGCTTTTGAAGTTATAGTACCAAGTCTACCTGGATATGGATTCTCCGATGTAAGTACAACGCCATCTATCGGTCGATGTTGAAATGTAGAAATTTTTGAAAGGTTTATTTAGTTGAAAATAACCGATCAAATGTTTATAAGCGTTATACATTTTTAATAGTCAAAAAATTTTCAAAAATTTTTTTTTCTATAAATTTGTAATTTACGTTTTTCTCTATGTTTCGATTAAAGAGGTATTCTAGTACTTCACAGTATTTACAATCTCTAAAATTATTTGGATAAATTACAAAATCTAGACAATAACATGAATAATGACATGACAACGCATGAAAAGCGGATTTGACAGTGGAGGAGACGCATGAGAAGGGGGACTGTCCTCTTTATGTGCGTCTCCTCCGTCAAAGAAGGGTAACGCATCTGCAATTGCGGATGTCTATGGGTAGCGGTCGCTTTCCATTTCGGTGGATTCAGGCCGCTTGCGAGTTTGCCACCTTATATTATAAAAAAAATGTTAGTCCAAAACTACGCACTTAACTAACACTCGATTGTTTTATCATTTTGTTTGTAACGTTTTTTTCTATCATTATTTTACCAACTGTATAATTAACATCTTCTGGAAACAAATGATTTTATTATTATTAAAACAGAAACCAATATGATCGCCGTTAATACGGCTGTTTTTACATACTGTTTTTCTGTTTTTGAAGTCGGTGTCAGATTCATTACTTAATTGTTACTATACTTTCAATTGTCAATTGTTATGGCAAAATGTGGAAACCCTTATGTAGAAATATCACTGCTTACCTTGGCTGACACCGACATCAAAGTAATAATAATTGTACAATATAGACATAACAGTTACAATAAGGTAGGTTTACTTTTTTCAAGGAATTATTTCGTTACTTTTTAGTGTACTGTTTTTTTTGAGAATATTATGTTTTTGGTGTATTTTTTTTTGTTTTTAGTGCATTTTGTTTTGTTTTTAGTGTATTTTGTTTGGAAGTCGGTTTTTTTTTTAAATTATATTGACGTCATCGTGGTTAAATATTTCACCATAATATCTATCAGCATGCTTTAGGTAGAAGTTCCTTATTCTTTATTTATCAAGATCCCATTTCGCAAGGCATTATATTTCATTAACCATGATTTGCCAAAAATCCGCGCCAGCCGCTTGTCATGGTAACATCACTAGCGATAAAATAAAATAACAATTTTGACGCTGGTCGCATATTTTTGACAAATCATGGCTGTTGAAATATTATTATGCAATGATTACGAAATGATATCTTAACCAATTTATATCGATATCTTTAGTATTGTTATAAAGAAGAAAAATATCTATTTTTGTATGTATTAAAATAACTCAAAAACTACTGAGCCAGGAGACACACATATAGAGGATATATTTACCCTTTTTATGTGTCTCCTACACTGTCAAATTCACTTTTCCTTCCCATACTTCCTCTCAAGAAAAGGGTGAAAAGGGAAAGGGACTAAAATTAGGCCTCCGGCACCACACTCATCAGACGGAATTGCTTCCATTTGACGCCTGTCTTCTGTGTGGTCGTGGTATTACACAGGGCGAGCCGGCCTATTTATGCGAAGATGTTAAAGCGGGCACTACCACTATTTACATGTATATTCGTTATCTAGGCACCAGTCCGTCCAGGCGTTGCTCCTGGACAGATAGCAGTCATCTTCAAAAACCTGATGAACAGGCTTGGCTTCAAGAAGTTCTACATCCAGGGCGGCGACTGGGGCTCGGCGATCGCGTCCGCACTTGCTACATTATACCCTAATGAAATTTTGGGACACCATACTAATTTCCCGATGGTTCAAGTAAGGATTTTATAATACTTCTTACTACACTCAAGAGCATTGATTCCGGGTCACTTAAAAAAAATATCTTAAACTAATGTGCTAGCTTAATGAAATAAACGGTGTTGATGATATTACACTTAAATTAAAATCCTAATGAGGGAAAGAGACCATAAGTTGCTGCCAACATCAAAGATGCAGGTTGTCGTCATGTCATGTCATTTGGGCATTTGTAATTGATAATTTGACAAATGTAAATAATAAAATAAAATTTTCATAATTCCATGCGGATGAAGTCGCACGGAAATAGCTAGTTTTAAATAAGTTAGCATTCTTAAGTTACGATTAATGAGATATAAAGTTTATTTTAAGTCAACCGGATTCAATGCTCTTGAGTGTATTACAAATGCGAATGTTTAGATGGACGTTTGTTAGAGTTTGTAGCCTAAACGAGAACTCGATGAATGTCATAGATGTAGAAGATAGTCTGGAAGAACACATAGGCTACATTAGTAAGATTAATTCATTCCGATTCATTCTCTATACATTATTTTTGTTTTCAGAACAAACAGGCTGTCTACAAAACGATATTGGGCTCTTTCTTCCCATCTCTAGTTGTGGAGAGTCACCTAGCGAGTCGCATGTATCCTCTATCTTCTTTGTTCTCTTATCTTCTAGAAGAGACTGGATACGCACATATACAGGGCACTAAACCTGATACAGTTGGTAAGTGTATTGTTACATGTATTACTAAATGTCCCCACTGAGGGGCTCGGAACCTACCCTAAGTTAAGGGTCACTAGGACATAGTCAAATGATTTGACACATGTATTTTAGTATATTCTAATATGTGCAGGTTCCTTTACGGGAAGAGAGCTCGTACATGACTATGTTATCGCACAACTGTTCAGTTTCGATTTGATTTATATGAACTTGTATGGAACAAACACTATTCGATTTTTAGTTGTGCAACTAAACAGTTTAGCTGCGAAACAATCGACAATAGTTGTCCGATAGTTTAGTCAAAGGTGTACGCCTGCTTTAAGAATTTTGAATAAATATACATATGACAGTAATAGAAAAAACTTGGTATATGTCGGGATTCGAACCCAGAATCTACAGATATGAACGCGCTTTATCCAAAATTATTTTGAGTTTTGGCTTATTAAGTTCAGAAAAGTTTTGTATTTATTGTTTTTCTTATCTGTTGTCTCCCAGGCGTCGGTCTAACAGACTCCCCTTCAGGTCTCCTAGCCTATATCCTGGAGAAGTTCTCTACATGGACTAATGTTGAACACAAGTTGAAACCTGACGGAGGTTTAGAGTTCAGATTTACGAAGGACAAACTTATCGATAATCTTATGATTTACTGGACTTCTAATTGTATTACTACATCTATGAGAATTTATTCTGAAGAAATGAGTATTAAGAACAGACAGTTGGATTTGAATTCGTAAGTATTTTCTTTATAAAAGCATCTAATGACAGTTATATTAACAAAGGCGCCTGTGGTATTTTAGTGAGCAATTTTCCTTTTCGAAATAAACAAGCAAAAAGAATAAACAAAATATATTTTTTTCGATTCGATTTCGAAATTCGAATTTGGTAATTACAAAAATGGCGACATTTCCCGCGCATTTGCTGCTCCCTCATTGGCTCAGTATTTCAAGGTGACTTTGTTAGGTCACAAAACTGCCAACTGCCTAATCCTTTTAACTCTTTTAACTCAAAAACTACTGAACCGATTTCAAAAATTCTTTCACCATTAAAAACCTACGTTATCAGTGAATAACATAGGCTATGTTCTTTTATTATTTTTAATATCTACGCAACAGTTAGTATTTATTAGTATGTTTGTTAGAGTTTGTAGCCTGCTGAACGGACCTCGATGAAATTTTGCATGTTCGTTAAAGGCAGTCTAAAAGAACATATAGGTTACTTACTTTTGTTTCTTTTTTAATTCCACGCGGAAGAAGTCGCGGGCGAAAGCTGTATAATTGTCACTATCTATGTAAACGTTAGCACACTGTACAGCAGTGTTTAACTAGCTATATGTATTTTTTGTCCTCAGTTATATCACGCCAGTTCCAACATGGGCTTTCCAAACAAAGAGTGAAATGATATACCAACCTCCGAGTATTCTGAAGACGAAGTACATCAACCTCTTAGGTGCGACAGTTTTAGAAGATGGCGGACATTTCCTTGCTTTAGAACTACCTCAAATATTTGTTAATGATGTTTTTAAAGCTGTTAAAATATTTAAGAATTGGCATAATCAAAATAAGAATACTGAATTGTAAGTTGTTAAATATAATTCTTTAGTTTTGTTTATGTTTGATTGTTTTCTTTTTCTAAAAAACCCTGCGATATTCCGCCGCCATTTTATTTTAAGCCGCCATTTTAAGACGAGAAACAATTGAAATAAAAATACTTGTACAATTTATGAATTTATTAGGCATTTAGCATTACATAGATTCATGTATAATTTAAATATAGTCTCAGTTTGAGTCGAGTAAATTGATTATTGTCAATTAATATTGTCACACGTTGAATACTTACCTAGTTTCTAAAATAGAATTTGAAAATTTTCGTTGCAAGAAGAGTGAAATAAATTACAAGCTAGAAATGTAAATATTTTTTTTTAGCTCACATTTTGTACAATCTAAAGTCTTTTAAGAAAACACTAAGCTAGTTAAAGCCTTTCTATTTTAATTATTGTCTACAGTTGAATACATACTCTGATTTTTATTCAAACTTATAAAAAAACATAAAATTCAATTATTAGACTTTAAGAAAGCGCCATCTATTAGAATATTTTAAAAATAAAATCTTAAATTGTCGAAATCATACCAATAGATGGCGTTGTAACAAAACTTCATATAATTACTTGAAAATATCACCTGAATTTAAAATAACAAAGATGTTAATTGTTATTTGTTCAAGTTTTATATGATTTATCATAAAATTCAACTTAAAATAACATTTGTCATTAACACAGTTAGAAAATTAAAAAAAATAGGTTTTTAGCTTACATTCGCATCTAAACACATAACCTAAGACCTAGGACAGGCACATTGCTAACACATTACGATTGCTAAAGAGCTACTTATTTAATATCAAATAACTAACACTTAAGAAAATTATACAATTCAAGTCAATTTTGTTTAATTCAATAACAAAAAAATCATTTAAAACAAATTACACAGATAACCTAAAAAAATAGCTGTAATCGAAAAAATATACAATTTTGATAATAGCCGACAATAAAATGACATACATAAAGTATAAAAAAACGTTTTATACATAGTTTTAAAATAGTAACTTATCATAAAAAGGTTAATAACATCAAATGCTTACATTTTCCCTTTCAAGATACTTTCTAATAAGTTTTTTAGTACGACAAATTACTGAGCATTTTATTAATATAGTATTTCGTCAATATTTAATATAACAAAATTATTTTTATTAATAAAGTATAAGCCTATTTCTACTTTAGCAAGCAAACTTATGACAAGCGAATTTTTTTGTCAAATACATTTAAAATCGTTATTTATATAAAAATCTACAAAATGTATAAATTTCACAACCTATTCATTTGTCTATTTTTTCATAAACGATTTTAAGCAATCCAGAACTATTTACCTCGTATATTATTTTAATTACATATTGAAAATTTAATTTACCTTAAATTCCTTTATATAACATTTTCATAAATTGTATTCAAACAAAATTTACTCACCCACTCAAAACTGTGTAATTCTCTTCCTTTAATAAACAAAAAACAGTGTTATTTGTCTGTTATAGAGTGTCTAAATAATTTAGATTAGTTTGACAATTCTTTTCAAATTTAGTAGGGATGGGTTGTGTAAAATCAGGCATGAATCTTATCGATTTTTATTCTTATAGAAGTTGGAATCGATAGATTCATAGTTATAACTTATAAAATAAAAAAACACCGTTTTCTCAAATTAATAATGACCATAAAAAATAATGAGAGTAAATAAATATTTATTACTAGTACAGCCGTACGTAATCGAATTGGATTTCGCTATTTTTCTGTCATCGCTGAATTCTCTACTCTATAATTAATACTGGAATTGTCTTCTAAATTATAAGAATAAGAAAATAATAATTTTAGTTGAATTCGATAATTATTTAAACCGAATATCGATAGTTCAAAATTGTTCGCTGTGTGTGTTTGTTTCGCCACTATGATACCTGTCTATTAAGTACGGCATTTACATTCATACACATTGAATTCGATACTTCATATGCGTCATTTATCAAGCTAATCTATCTTATTTAGACACACTATAACCTAATTTATTATAATACATGTCAAATATTATTGACAATAATGTTAATATAATAAAAATGGTTAGTTGAGTCTTGTTTGATTCCATTTCATACATATAGAGGCATTGACAGGCACAAGCTAAAGGCAACCCTCGTACTAAAGCGACTTGTATCTTAAACCGATTAACATATTTAGAACCTTTGACTAAACTATCGCACAACTGCTTAGTCTCGCTTATTCCTATAAGCTTCTATGTATGAGTTGTGCAACTAAACAGTTGATCTGAGAAACAATCGACAATCGCACAACAGGTGTGTGATAGTTTAGTAAAATGTGTGCGCCCGTTCTTAGCGTCAATTTCCTCAAGCATACACGAAAAATCTTTCACACAATATTGAGTGAATTTAACATTCAAAATCAACTTTTTTCTTAGCTCATTTATCTTGTTTTTTTAGACTGAAAACAGGCAGTACTTAATCGTTTTAAGACACAAGCTCAAACATTTACGTTACATAAGCTACAATTCTTATTTACAAGTACAACCGCTCAATTTGTTTTTTATGTTAACGAGAAAGGAGATAACATGATTAAGAAGGGATTGTGTAATGTTAACTCTGTCCTGATATTACGAACATTAACGTTATTATATGTTTAAAAATATTACCGTAGTACTTTTGGTATTAAATAAATCGGTACCGCGCCGGAGTATGGCACAACACTAGATCAATCCGTCACTATGACATCTGTCAATGTAATTCTGATGTATAACAACGCCATCTGTTGGAATCGGTAGGTATCAAAGTAGATTTACATTGTAACGGTTATATTATAATCTAGTAATCTAATAGTATTTTATTTCACGAACTTACGCATAATATTGCAATAGTTATGATTTGTCAAAAAATTTTGCCAGGCGCTAAATATAGTAAAAGGTTTGACGTATGTTTTATAATTTTGAACACTTGTCTATATTTTATGGTTAGGTTTAGTGTATAGCTTGTTGAGCGGTTGTACGAATTAAATCTAGTCTATTACTAGTCTGTCTAAATCGCAAAATATAAGCTAACACAATCATAGTCATAAGTATAGTTTTCTGGGAATAAAAATTGTTCCCCTAATGTTATACAAAGATTTATATGTATAGATAATAATCTTTTTAAACTCACTAGTTTTCGCCCGCGACTCCGTCCGAATAATCTATATCTATACTAATATTATAAAGAGGAAAGATTTGTATTTTTATTTATTGGAATAACTCAAAAACTACTGTTCCGATTTCAAAAATTCTTTCACCATTAAAAAGCTACATTATCAGTAAGTAATAGGCTATATTTTTTAATGATTTTATTAACTTCACGCAAAGTCACTGGATAAACTAATAGAAGTGTTAATATTTTAAAACAATTAAAATTTCATCTACCAATATAAATCTTTGTAAAAAAATCGTTTGTTATTCATAAGCTTAATTCCAATTTTCTAATAAAATATAATTTCTATTCATACGTCTATTATAATTGAAACTCCCAACTAACTTTATAATATAAATAATTTATTACAACTTAGATTTTAAAGAGTGTAATTGAGTTATAACAAAATATTCAACAATTCTTTTTAGAGGATCTCATTTGACTAAACTATCGCACAACTGTTTCTCGCTTTGATTCCTATGATGGAGGTACTACTCGATGTTAAGTGCAACTAAACAGTTGAGCTGCGAAACAATCGACAATCGCAACAACATAGTCTTGGGCTTAATCGGACATCTGCAAGTGCCCACCGTACTAGTACAATTGGGAAAACGTACTAGTACACACTTTTAGTACGCTTAGTACTTCAGATTTGTGAGAACACAATAACATGAATAGAATATAACAATGGTTATAGATTACTTCACATCAAAAGCAGGGTCAATCGTATGTTATTAGCAAAAATAAATTTAAGTTATAAATGATTTTATCTAGCAAATATACAATCAAATCAAACAACGAAGAAGCGAACACTTATATCGTGTAGTGTACTAAAAGTGCCAAATGTCCGATTAACAGAAGCCGTTGGGTAACGTTATTAGTACAGTGCTGAGTACTTTTTAGTACATTGTATGTGTACTACACAAGACTAAACAACAGTATGCGACAGTTTATTCAAAGGTGCGTCTGCACATAACCTTTAAAAAAGTCAACGACTTTAAATAATATTTCATAAATAATTTATTTATTTCTTTCATAAAGGCATTTATACCTAACCAAGAATATAACCTTACCATATTGTGGAGAAATATAGAAGCTTCTAGATTAGATAATTGAAATCAGAACCGCTTCTAGGTTAGGGATTTTATATTCTCGGTTAGGCTATTCTAACAGTCAACTGAGATATCTCAAGCTATCTCTTTCATTTTACTAAACAGAATATAGACAGGAAAACACAAGTACAGTTGGAGAAATTGTCGGTGTTCCACCTAAAAACGTTTGATCATTTCGAAACGAGACGCGGAAAAAAAATGTATTTTATTATAGTAATTTTTTTTTATTATCTCTTTGTTAGCACTGCTATCTAGTTATTTGTAAATGCGGAGTTTATCACGTTCAAGTCGTCAAAGTCGGACTCAATGTAGATTCATTACTTAAACGTTACTATACTTTCAATTGTCAATTGTTATGGTAAAAATGTGGAAACCCTTACGTAGAAATATCACTGCATACCTTGGCTGACACCGACATCAAAGTAATAATAATTGTACAATATAGACATGACAGCTTCAATAAGGGAGGTTTACTATTATCAAGGAATTATTTCGTTACTTTTTAGTGTACTGTTTTATTGAGAATATATTGTTTTTAGTGTATTTTGTTTGGAAGTCGGTTTTGTTTTTTTTCTTACGTTGAACACCAGATTTCAGCGACTGTACATCAGTGTAAACCCACTGTATTAATCTATTTAAAGTTACAAATATTTATTGTCTTATTTTAATTATTGTCACAAATCGTATAAAGCTCATGTGACTGGTAAGACTTAGGAAGTCAATTTAAGACTACTTTTTAGTCAAACCAAGGAAATATAGCAGATGTCATGTTAGCTTTTTTTATTGTAGGACGTAAATTATAGGACAACGCCATCTAGTTTCAAATAAAAGTAATAATGCTATGAGAAATCTTTGTCAGTGATTTTAGTTTTCAAGCTACCGGTTTTTTAGTTTCGTCTATTGTAAAATTAATTTTTTAAATTTATAAGTTTAAAGTCAAACTTTATAAGAAATGTTTTTATATTTTCCTTGGTTTGAATTCCTTTTCACTTATAGAATTATATTCTACGTAGTAATAATATTGAGGTTTCTAAATAGATTCTACGAAGAGGTAAGGTATGGACCGTTATTAACGTCGGCTTCCACTGGCGAAACAAGTTGTCAATGTTTTTGCAGGGAAAGCCGACGGTTAGATAGTTACCACCTAACATTGAAATGGGTTTAATTCGAGATATGGCGTAGGGATATGCAAATACGATAAATTTACTAAAACCTAGAGATCAAAAGGGACCATGGTAAAATTTATTGGTTATAAAGCACAGCCAAATATTTGCAGTGGACTCGATACTGGGTTTTAAAGTGTTCGTACTTGGAAACATGTTTCTGAGGCGAGTAATAAAAATATACTAAATGGAACCGATTTTAGATATTCAATCTTAGTTTTAAAATAACTAAAAATATTGTCTTTTAACTAAAACACAACGTAAATAAAATAGAAAATCTTTTAAACATAAGATTAAGCAAATAATAATTAAACGAAACATTATCCCTTGCGATAAGAAACATGTTTCCGAGCATAAAATAACCAATTTACCTTTTAGGAGACAGACTTTGCAGGTAATTCGGATCCATCTCATCCAGATCTTTACCTTTAGTCTCCGGAACACAACACACAACAAAACAAAGACCACCAACACTTATAGACGCGTACAACCAAAAAGCACCATGCAAACCCAACGCCTGTTGAAAGTCTACAAACGTTTTAACACCAACAAACGCACACAGATAACTAAAAGCAGTCGCCATAGCACTACCGAACGCCCTATACTCCAACGGAAACAACTCCCCAATTAACAACCACGAAATCGGGCTCATACCTAAAGAAAAGGCAATTGTAAACACTAGCACACAAAGCAAAGGTATCCAATCATTCTGGCCCACCGTCTGATGGAACATTACATTCTGTATACGCTGATTTCTATGAACCTCTTCATAATAAGCATAACTACCAAAACCAGCTAACGCCATAGACATTAACACGGAACTAACGATTAACAAGGGTAACCTTCCAACAGTGTCTATCAACAAACCGGATAGACAAGAAGCTAATAATTGCACAAAAGAGACGGCGATAGCAGCACCGTGAGGGTTCATACCACCGAATGTCTTTCTAAATATCGGTACAGCGTAGAAAGAAAACGCATGAGCGCCTGAAAATCTTTGAAAAGTCATCAGTCCACAAGTCACTAGAATCGGTCCTAACAATCTATTCATAGTTCTAACATCAAGGGAGTTTATAAACTGACTGCTTGACATTTGATTCTGCCGTTGGCTGAAATTCTTCGATGCTAAAACATTCGTTCTTATGGTTGCTAGTTCTTGGGCCACATCTGAGTTCGGGCCACGCAACCATAGTAGACTTTTGTACGCTTCTTCATCCTTACCTGTCAGGACCAGGTAGCTTGGTGTTTCTGGTATATAGAGGATGGTGCAGAAGAGAAGTAGAGGTGCAGCGGAAATGCAGAGGGCGAGCTGTTGCCAGTCCAAGTAGGCTCCTATAGTGAAACTGAAGAGTACTCCAAGATGGCCGACGATTTTCAGAACAGCACTCAAACAGCCTCGGATATCTGGTACTGATATCTCGCTGATATAGACCTGAAATTTTAAATTATTAAGGGCCAGTCCCACCAAATTGTAAATTGTCTGATAATAATCAAATGTGTAAAATATGTGATCGAAATATCGGATTTTGTTCCCTTATCTGACAGTGACGTCATTTTTAAGCTATCTGAGCCTCTACCAGCCATATTTAAAACACTGACTAACTTTTTTATGGTGTCTTAAAATTTAATCAAGGCTTTGTTATTTTCGTTATAAAAAAATTAATTAGATTATTATCCGTTTCCTTCAGACGTAAGTCTTCGAGTTACCAAAAGTTTGTAAGAATAATTAAACGCTGAAAGTAATTACAGGGACTGTTCCATTCATCGCTTGTTACTGAAGTAATAAATAATAATTTTATAGCTAATGTTAAACTCCTTCCAAGTTTCTAATTTAGTGTTGTGACACATTGCCTGGATGATTTTATATTATTTTTTTCTTGGAATTAATATGTTCATTTGACTAGTTTATTGTACTTTTTGAGGTTATTAAAATTCCGAAATCACATTTAAAAAAGTGACACAATATTTTATATGGTATGCAAAATTTTGAATTGATCTACTCGAAAAAAAAAAACCAATTTTTCTATGTGTCGTCTTGTTTATTTCAATTTGAAACTCTTGATTGTTTATGGATTGTACTAAAAAAACGTAATTTACGCTTTCAAAGTTATTAACTTTTTAATCTCTGTTAGTTTTCTAGAGTTGAAAATACTCCTTCCTTGTACATTCAAAATCTAACGAAAAAAAGTGCAAGTCATTTTTTTTTCATATAATAATAATTTCTTATTTACTCCTCCGCTTAATGTGGCGCTACACTAAAGCTTTACGAGCAGAGTAAACTTAGCTGAAGTCGGTAACTTTTCCTAAGTTTTGCAAAGTTTGAGACTTTATCAATTACTGTCGAGGTGACCATCAGCGCCGCGGACAGTCCCGACAACTCGGGAATGACCACTTTATTGAAGAGATTAAAAGTTAAGCCAATACTTAGACGTTACTAAGTCCAGATAACGTCAAGAAATTAACTAACACAAACCTAATTTGGTCTTTAGAATTGTTTTTTTCAGTACGAGGAGAGAAACAAATGGACGATCTCTTGATGAAAAAACGAAGTGACAACAATGTTGCTCGCGACTTTGCCTGCGTAAAATAAAAAAGTAAAGCCTATGTTACTGACAGATAAATTATCTTTCTGAAGGTGAAAGAATTAGTCAAATCGGCCTTGTAGTTTTTGAGTTATTACAATATATACCAAAATTCAAATCTTTATAATATTAGTACAGATATGATCCCTACTTATTGGTCTGAGTAGACGTGCAGAGAAATATTTTCCCTTCCAGTATTAGAAGAGAGAATTTTGAGAGTTATGGCTTAAGGGTAATTGTCATATATGTAGTTACATACCTGAGATAACATAGTGAGTATGGAACAACAGAAGCCTCCGAGGAAAGCAGTGACACACATCATTCGAACAGATGTCGCTACTACCGTCAACAACCAGGACACGCTGCACGGCGCCGCCGCTAGCGACAGCACGCGGCGTCGCCCGTGGCGCATCGCAGCGCCCCCAGCCATGCCCCCGAACAATGCTCCTGGTAAATCGAAATTAGAATACTCTAAAATATTTATATACTAGCTTTCGCTCGTGTATCCGTATGTCCGCGTGGAATTAAAAAAAAATTGAGTAGCCTATATGTTCTTGCAAACTATCCTCTACATCTAAACCAAATTTCATCGAAATCCGCTACAAAATCTAACAAACATCCGTCTATCTAAACTTTTGCATTTATTATATAAGTATGAAGTATGATTATCTAAAATATTGCCTACTAACATATGACTAAACTATCGCATAACTGTTTAGTCCCGCTTTGATTCCTATGAGCTTATATGGAGGTTACACTACTCGATTTTTGTTATGCAACTAAACAGTTGGGCTGCGAAACAATCGACAATCGCATTTAAGTAAACTATCGCACAACAGTTGTGCGATAGTTTACTCAAAGGTGTGCGCCCGCTCTTTTACTATCACTCCACTAATTATTTACGTGGCTATAATTAATTACTTTCTTTTGTTACGTTAATGGCGGCCTTTCAGACGTCCATTAAGGATTGATTGATAAATGTTACTAAGGGAAGATTAATTTAATCGTTTGGTAATATCTGATTATTCTTTATTTATCTAGATAATGGAATATACTTTTCATACATGGTTTTAACCGATTTTTTTCCGACTCGAAGGACCAAAAATTAGACGCACGATATCATCTTAATAAAAGGAATTGAACGGCAGATTTTTGTTTCTTTTTTAAAATTTTTCACTTAATGTCTGACATGACAATGACCTAAGAAATTAGGTCTTGTTAACCCTGGATTGTCCTAGATATATCTGGCAATATTCCATAAAAATACCTATTACAATAAAGTTAAGTCAAGTAGCGGTTGCAAGCAGTTTGAGAGCTAAGTTGGCACACAACCAGGGTTATTGTGGGTAATCAAAGAATCGTAGAGTAGTGGTTAAGGGTCTTAATACGTGATTGTAGTACTTAGAAAAATCTATACTAAGGGACTTCTCTAAGTGATAACTAATCTAATTCTGTTTTATTATATCGACTTATTAAATATTTACTAATAAAAAAAAATTAAAACTAGGATTTCAAATAAAAAGAAAAGTTTTGTGTATTTAAAATGGTATACACTAATATAGGAAATAAAAAAAAATGGTTATTGTAAAAAATTTTAACAAAAAGCGTGCGTTGGCCGGGAATCGAACCCGGATCAACTGCTTGGAAGGCAACTATGCTGACCATTACACCACCAACGCCGTGATAGGATTTATTAAATTAAAAATTAATATAAGGAGAAAACCACAATGACGCACAATAAAAATGTAAATTGTACATTTGATCACGTATATTAAAACATTCATTTGAGAGAATGTCATTCAATAATGAATTTTACACAGTGTGAATAGAGTTCATTTTTGCTTATTCCGTGTTTATCTTCAACCGATATCGCAGACTATAAAAGGTCAAAGTTCGACAACTCAGTACATCAACGTAATCGTTTTTTACCCATACTAAAAAAACTCACCTAGAAACGACAATGAGGCGAGCCAAGACGCCTGTTGGTCTGTGATCTGGAAGTCCCTTCGTGTGGCATTAGCAGGGCCTTGTAGGGACGCGATCGCAGGCGAACTGTAGCCCTTGCCCAGGCCCGCGGAGAAAGGGGCGAGGGACACCGCTAGGGCTGCCAACACCTGGAGATATTACATTAGTTCTAGGGTTGTCAAATATTATGTATCTTTATTTTAGGGCTGTCAGAAATAAATAATCATACTAATATTAGAAATGCGAAAGTTTAGATGGATGGATGTTTTAAAATTTGTTAGCATAAACGGCTGAAGAGATTTCGATGAAATTTGGGATAGATGTAGAGGATAGTCTGGAATACTCATTTTTTAAAATTCCACGCACACAAAGTCGCGAGCGAAAGCTAATATTTTAATAATTTTATCATAATTCAAGAGAAGGCTTTATATTATATTTTACTTATGTATGTGATTTTAAATTCTATTATGTAGTTTTTAAAGTTGTCTTTGCAATAAAGTTTGTACATTTCTTTACTTCCAAAGTAAAAAACTTTCCAATTGTTCACGTTATCTTTTAATTGATCAATTAAATGTTTTTGTTCTCGCTATCTTACATATGCGGGTTTCTTTATTACACTGCTAAATACATTTGCCACCGTACTTACAGCGTGCGAACACTGACTAAACTACCGGACAACTGTTGTGCGATTGTCGATTGTTTCGCAGCTCAACTGTTTAGTTGCACAACTAAAAATCGAGTAGTGTGCGCAATAGTTCTGCGATAGTTCAGTCAAATGAGTGCGCTCTAAAGGTTCCTAAAATTACTAGATTATTTTTGGTATTTAAAAATTTAAAACAAACTACAAGTTCTCAACAATTCATCTCAAATACGTCTAGAAACGATTCCTTATATTTTGAAACACTCAAGCATCCCGAATAAATAAGAAACCTCTTTGTTCTTGTAATGGAGGTTCGATAACCGTTTAAATATTTGTACACGTAATTGAGCACTCGAAAGAAACACTTGAACAAATTGAAATTTATCTAAGTGTCTATTCATATACGTAATATGGCATAGCAAGTTTGTCATTCTTTTGAAGGAAACAAAAGATTTTTATCTATACTATTATAATAAAGCGTAAACACACACTTCTTTGTTGCCTAAGATGTCAGCAATTACAGAATATTTTTGAATAATCCTTTTTTTTAATAAAAAGCCCTACACTTACGTGACGCTTTAGGCTATATGTTTTAACGTCATTAAACTTAGGGGGTAAATATTTTGGATAAAAACCCTAATGTGGGAAAGAGACCATAAGTTGCTGCCAACATCAAGGATCAAGGTTGTCTTCATATCATGTCATTTTGACATTTGTAATTAATAATTTAATAAATGTAAACAATGAAATAAAATTTTCATAATTTCATGCGGATGAAGTCGCACCGGAACAGCTGGTACCAACATAAAGAGGAAAGATTTGTATTTTTGTATGCATTTGATTATTGCAAAAACTACTAGACCGATGTTAAAAATTCTTTCACCATTAGAAAGGAAACCAAGACAAACATGGGGTATATTTTGTATTAACCTTTTTTTCTATTTCACGCGGATGGAGTCGCGGGCAACGATTAGTAGTCAAATATAGACGAGTCACAGTGAACAATATTTTTCTTCTTTCTCTGAAAGATACTAATATATCAGTTGTCACGTTCAGTGCCATCTCGTGTATTGACATGTTATAAATAATTTTACAAAATTATAATAACTAAGCTCCTTTTCTTATGAAATAAAATAAACAGTGTTACAATATAAAATGTAAACATTTAAATATTATTTAACTAGCTTTCACCCACGACTCTGTCCGCGTGGAATTAAAAAAAAACAATAGTAAGTAGCCTATGTGTTCTTCCAAACTATAATCTACGTCTATGCAAAATTTCATCGAGATCCGTTCAGCCGTTTACGCTACAAACTCCAACAAACATCCATCCAAACTTTCGCATTTATAATATTAGTAAGAAGTAAGATTTGTAAGATAAGAACTATTCGCAATTAATTTAAATATAATTCATTATATTGGCATGTGGTTTTGAGGATCTACCAACAGATAGCGTTAGTTACTTTATGGAAAATGCCTGAAGTGAAGTGTCAACTATGCTTCCTCGATAATGTATTTGAAACTTTATTTTAGTATTCTATGATGTAGAACTAAGTATTTAACAGAAAAATTAAGAAGGATCAAATAAAAGATTTGTTAAGCCATTCGAACGCACGCTGCTTAGGGCTTATTACTTAATGCTAACTTGATAGGGCTTCAGTCAATAACCTACAATTACAATGTACGTAACGTTACTTAGCAACGGAGATACAAAAAATAATATTGTGCAGATAATGTGTTTGTTATATTCAGTGACTTTTGTTAATATATTTGACCTAGAAATATCGTCAGAATTAAAAGTTCTTTTTATTGTACACTAGCTAGCGAGATTCTGTTGATATGGAATTAAAAAAAAGGTAAGTAGCCTATGTGTTCTTCCAGACTATCCTCTACATCTATACCAAATTTCGCCAAAATCCGTTCAGACGTTTAGGCTACAAACTCTAACATCCATCCATCTCAACTTTTGCATTTATATTACTGAGATTAGTAAGAAGTAAGATACAAGTTAATCGATTTTATATATTCTGTTTATAAAAAAAATAAATCATGTGAAACTAGCTTTCGCCCGCATCTCTGTCCGTGGTATTAAAAAAACTAAGTAAGCCTTATATGATTTACTTTACTTGAATCACTTATCGAAATGTCAGCAACAAAAACGTTTTGATTAATCTACTCTGTTACTGGCAGGTTATTAATTACTGATATAGGCCACAATACAACGGATGTAAAAAAAACTGCCCTACATATAATATTATATATGCGAAAGTTTAGATGGATGTTTGTTAGTTTGTAGCCTAAACTACTGAATGGATCTCGATGTTTGGCATAGATATAATCTGGAAGAACATATAGAACACTTACTGACGTTTTTTAATTCTACACAGACGGATTCGCAGGCAAAAACTAGTCTGTACTAATATTATAAAGAGGAAAGATTTGTATTTCTGTAAGTATTGAAATAACTCGAAAACTACTTGACCGACTTAAAAAATTCTTTCACTATTAAAAAGCTTATCATGAGTATAAATGATAAAAAATAATAGGCTTTATTTTTTATTACTTAATTTAACCCGGACAAAGTCGCGAGCAACTGTCAGTTTGTTATAATTTAAGAGCGTTACCACATCTGAAACTAAACTTTCGCATAACTGTTTAGTCGCAGTTTGATTCCTATGAGCTTATATGGAGTCACACGACTATCCCACAACTGTTTAGTTGTGCAACTAAACAGTTTTTTTTATAATATAAGGTGGCAAACGAGCAAACGGCCACCTAAATCCACCGAAATGGAAAGCGACCGCTGCCCATAAACATCCGCAACTACAGATGCATTGCCCAACCTTAATAGACGGAGGAGGAGACGCACATAAAGAGGACATTCCCCTTCCTATGCGTCTCTCTCACCATCAAATCCACTTTTCCTTTCCATCCTTTCCTCTTAAGAAAAGGGGGGAAAGGGAAATGGACTAAAATTAAGCCTCCGGCACCACACTCATTAGACGAAACGCGGAATTGCTTCCACTTCACGCCCGTTTTCTGTGTGGTCGTGGTATTACACCGGGCGAGCCGACCCATCCGTACGATGTTAAAGCGGGCTCTACAATTGTTATAGTTGTGCGATAGTTTAGTTAAAGCGCCTTCTCTTAAAGATATTTGTCATAATACATACAGATTTAAAAAACAAGCAATGTTTATCCAATTTTCATTACAAGTATGTCAGGGTTTACATAACATGTGAGTTTAGAGTTCAAGTAATCGTTTTACAAAGATGTTCTTAAAGGAATTACAAGCTAAATCGGCTTGACATATTTAGCAGTACCAACATAATGCGACATACTTGTATGGCGCGGTGCGAGAGGTTTTGTCACGGTTAGTTCTTTTAGAAAATGTGTTAATTAGACCGTCAAATTGTACTTCATAAACTTATCTAAATTATGATCAGGCCACCGGGTCAAGTAAGTCTATCATACTGTATTTTTTTATAACATAAGGTGGCAAACGAGCAAGCGGCGGAATTGCTTCCATTTCACGGGTGTCTTATGTGTGGTCGTGGTATTACACCGGGCGTGCCGGCCCTGCAGTGCTAAGATGTTAAAGCGGGCACTACCACAGTATTATAACAAGGATATTCCAACAATTTATGACATAGGCGCTAGTGTGCAAATATAATTTATTTTCACTCATACCGGGTCATATAAGTTAGTCGGACTATACTAATAGCGGTGTAACAAGATAATGGTAGACATTAGTGAGTCAGGAGCCTCTCTAGAGAACCCTTGGGCAACCTAATCACTTGTACACTACACATGTACTATACGAACATACGCTCTACCGAAATTTAGACATACCATAGAGTTAATGATAAAAAAAAAAACATATCGACGAATTGAGTACCTCCTTCTTTTGGGAAGTCGGTCAAAATCAATGGAACCACTATGCTTAATATATGGGAACAATTACTGACCGAAAAAAATATCTGACCCTGTGGGTATTTGTAAATTTGTAACAGAACTAATTGCAATAGCGATTCTTACTGGGCCATTATGCTAGCTTTACTATACGAAAAAATTGTGTCCGAAAAAAAGAATTCATAATCTATCTGTATCTATACTATTATAATAAAGCGTAAACACACACTTCTTTGTTGCCTAAGATGTCAGCATTTACAGCATATTTTCGAATAACTCTTTTTTTAATAAAAAGCCCTACACGTACGTCACGCTTTACGCTATATATTTTCACGCCGTTAAACTTAGGGGTAAATATTTTGGATAAAAACCCTAATGAGGGAAAGAGACCATAAGTTGCTGTCAAGATCAAGGAAACAAGATTGTCATCATGTCATGTCATTTTGTCATTTGCAATTGATAATTTGACAAATATGAACAATAAAATGATTTTTTTATAATTTCATGCGGATGAAGTCGTATGGGAACAGCTAGTGCTTAATATAAGGGAACAATTACTGACCGAAAGAAACATCTGCCCCGGTGGGTATTTGTAACAGAACTAACTGCAATAGCGATTCTTACTGGGCCACTTATGCTAGCTTGTATATACGAAAAAATTGTGTCCGAAAAAAGTATTAATTATTTGTAAAATTTTAAATGTTCACTTTTGTTTATAGCATTTTAACACTATTAGAAGTAATGAAACTGAATCTTTATTATATAATATGTGAACAAAAGTAGAACACAATCACGAAAACCCGAAATGAAAACAAACCTCGCTTGCATACAAGACATTTGTGTAAGGGAAAAACTGGGTCAAGACATAACCTCGATCAGGGGCATACGACACCACAGATGTTTTAAGGTTAGGTCCTACATATCATCACTAGCTCACTATAAGTCCCCACCGATAGGCTCGGAGCCTACCCTAAGTTAGGGTGACTGGGACATAATCAACCTGCACTGTGGATTGACTTCACACATATCTTTGAATTTCTTCGCCGATATATGCAGGTATCACGATGTTTTCCTTCACCGTAAGTTTCGGGTAAATTATGTACATTTGAAATCTTAAAAATAGAAAATCACATTGGTACTTCAGGATTCAAACCCAAGACCTGTATATTACAAGTCAAGTGCTTAAACCACTGAGCCACCGACGCTCGAAGTTCACTAAATTAGGACGTCTACACTTGTTCACTAAATTTAAAAAAAAAATAGTTTACCTGTGGCAGATGTCTAGATTTCCTCGGCGTCTGCGTCACATTGCCTGTAAGACATTTTCCGTTGGGCTCTGGTGCAGTTACTTGCTTCTGTTCAGGTCTTATTATCGGTATATTATGCTTCTCGAAGTATCCGTTCTGTATCATTTGGTCCAAAGAAACCTCCAACTCTCTAACAGCAACCACCTTGCGACCACAAACCGGATCATCAACCACCATTTTCCGGTTACAACCAGATACTTCAGAGAATTTCACATTCTTCTTAGGTTCGTCTTTCTTTTTAGCTCTGGTTTCTGGAGGATCAGTTGTCCAGTACCGCGCATTCTTTTCAGTTAAACGAAGTGGTTTGCAAATCGCAACATTCTTCGGGGTTCGTCGTACTGAATCGTTATTTAAGTGTATAACCGGTTTCGGTCTATCAGTGTAATCCGGTTTCCTTTCTTGGGTTTGTGGTTTCATTGCTTCCGCTTTGTAGGGTTCGTAAGGTTGCCGTCGTCTTTCATCGATTCGAAAATCGTAATAATCTTTCTTATATCTACGGGCTCTATCTTCGTAATAAGTGTAGTTTCGAGGTAGAGTGCTATATTTAGATTCGTACGATGTTGGCAGGTTTAAATATTCAGGTCTGATCGGTCTGAATAAAGATAGTCTACCTTGAGCTTCGTCGAAATCGGAGTAGATATCTTCATAGACGTAGCCGTTCTTACGTCGTGGTCTTTCGTAGCGTTCGAAACGTTCCCTATATCGGTTCGTAGTGTTTACTTCGTGTCGGTTGGTTTCGTAGTGTCGTGTTGCGTAGCGGTTTTCGTAAACGGTGGTTTCGGGTCGTTCCGTTTTCCGATCGGTTTCGTATCTCCGTCTTTCGTGTTCGTATTCAGAATGTCTGTCGTAGAGTAGTCGTTCCCTCGAGCCCGCCATTCTCCGCTTATTAGTTTCCGCCTGAAAGAAAAGATTGCATTTTAATGAAGTCTGGAAGGGAGTCCTTGAGAGTCGGTATTGCGGTGTAGGGGAAGGTATTACGACCGCAAAGATATTGACTTCCTTCACGTAATCTCAATGAATTTATTTTAAAAGTTCATTGTATTAATTTCGAGTTACTATTTTAGTAAAATTATTTTTTAATTTTAGGAAGTAACTAAATGTTATTGCGTTTTTAATTCTAGTTTTACGTTTGGGAAAACCATTCCGGGAAAATCCGAATTCTGTTTTAATTATTCACTACAACTACTACTCTTTCATCTTACTTCTTACTATCTTACTAATCTTACTAATATTAAAAATGCGAAAGTTTAGATGGATGGATGGATGGATGGATGGATGTTTTAGCCTAAACGGCTGAACGGATCTACATGAAATTTGGCACAGGTTTAGAGCATAGTCTGGAAGAACACATAGGCTACTTTTTATCCTGGGAATAGTTACGGTTCACGTGGGAATTATTAATTTAATTTTTTAATGTTTACTCGATCATTCTGCACCGGTTCAACATATCTTATTGAAATTTGGCACAGATATAAAACAAAGTCTGGAGTACATATGGGATAAGCTTCATCCTCGGGAAATGTCCTGTTCCCGGATACGTAGCTTTTTGTAATTTATGTACTTTGTATGTTTTCTAATACCACGCGGACGAAGTCGCGGGCAACAGCTCGTTAAAAATAAATAAAACCGTTTTTGGATCAAATTCAAAGATCGAATATTGATGTTGGCCGTTAGTTAAACATACTTTTAATATCTATCTCTATATTCTATCTAAGATCTCTGCAGAATATCTGCATTTCGCATACGTAATCCAATTAGTGTTCACGCTACGTGCGGGATGAGATCTGTTACTCTGAATATTAAAGTCGTGCATTTCAAATGTATTGAGGTTAATTTGTAACATACTAAAAATAGTTTATATTAATATTGAAATCAAGCTTTAGAGCTCACATGTGAAACTAAACTATCGTACAACTGTTTGTCTCGCTTCCTATGATTTCATATGCGCACACTACTCGATCTTTACTTGTCCAAATAAACAATAGAATTGGCTGCGAAACAATCGATAATCGCACAACCGTTGTGCGATAGTTTAGTTTCAAGTGTGCGCATGCTCTTAAAGATTTTCGTCAAATACATGGAAATAGACAAGAAAATCAATGTAACCCAATATTTACTTGCAAAGATACTTCAGATTGAGGGCTGGCTAAAAATATCTTCATTAATACGAAGAATCAAAGGTCCCTTGATCGATAACAACTTCTGTGGGGGAGGACTAGTGTGGGTTTGATCTAAAAATATAGTAACAGAATAAGAATATTACGACGGAATTTCCACAAATTTACAAGTCGTTAGTGATGTAAGTTCGTTTAAATTTTATCGATATTTCTATAGTAACTTATTTCATGAATAATTAATTTTATTTATCATTTTGTTATGATGTATTACCAGTGTTTTCAAATGAAGTTACAGAAAAACTTATTATTCACTAAGATGCGGTCAAAAACCCTTTTGTCTCTTTCATAAACGTGCAAAGAAGGAGAGCTACAACATAGTCCTAAGAAATATTGTAGGTATCTTATAATTAATGTAAATACGAAACTTTACGTTCTTGTTATCACGTAAATCCCGAAGGTCTCAATGCGTTTTAATTTAATTTTGGAACATGAATCTATCGTGTAGTCTATTGTAGGATTGACTAGCTATTTTTTTTAAATTCCGCGTGACCGACATTCCAATTATAACTTTTTTATGATTATCTTTATATCGATATGCACATCACTATTAGTAGCGCAGTGCGGCCAAACTTTAGCCGTCCATCGATAAATCTCGCCCATAGTTACGGCTGAACCGTCGCATTACTCATTGGGTAGTCTGGAAGTCGTTGACAGGCGAAGCCCTATAATGGATGTTTCTCTCAGCATACTTCAGTTAGGCGGTCTAACAAATTGATTTTGTTTATAAGTGGATTTAATTTAGAACTATTGTATCTTTAGAGCACGCACACCTTTGACTAAGCTATCTCACAACTGTCTCGCTTTGATTCCTCTGAGCTTATGGGCGCAATACTCGATTTGTAGTTGTGCAAAACAGTTGAATTGGCTGCGAAACAATCGACAACATATAGCGGTAGTTTTGTCATAAGAGTGCACCCGCTATTAAAGTCTCGCTTTTAATATTTGGAGATGGAATTTACCATTATTTGAAGTTAATATTTTTACCTTCTTTCACACCTTACTTGCTACCACTTTACGTATTCCCAATATCTATGGATAGTTATTTCATTATACTTTAGATTGTAGTTGTCTGTTTTACTCATACTAAAAAAAAGGTTTGCTCAAGCCCACCATAGGTCATATTAAAAATACGTAACTTTTAAAAGAAAAACTAAACTATTGCTGGCGACTTCGATTGCGTGAAATTAAAAAAAATATTTAAAAAAGATAGGTTATGTTACTCACTGATATCGTATATTAATAGTGAAAGAATTTTTGAAATCGGTTCAGTTTTTGAGTGATTCCAATACATACAGAAATCCAAATTTTATTTTTATTTCCTCTGTATAATATTAGTATAGAGTATAGATTACTTTTACGTTTAAATTCCAATAGTTGTTTGTGAAATAGCGCGAAATTATAAATCTAGTCGCACACTCGCGTGTCATAGAGTAGACTACAACATTACATAGACGTATCATAGAGTATAGACAACAACAGAGAGTAATGTAACGTACAATTTAATAAGGCAGGGGCTATGTTTGGCGCAGTGCGGCGTCGGAGGCAGCCAACGGTTATGTCAAATTCTTTTTTTATTAACTCATGCTTGTGTATTTTCGGGATATTTCGGTAAGCGTGCGTTTATTAAAAACGCAGCTAAAGAAAGAAGATATTCATGTAATGTTAAACGATAAAAATATACTAAGTATAGCTTAAAAAAAATTAATAACTAAGGAACTATTTTACAAATAAATAATGTTTTTACAATTACATGTTCATCTTAGCTTTAACTCATGTACTAAAAAAACCGTATCTTTGTTTTTTTTTTTTATTACAAGATGTCAATGGAGCAAAACGCCACGAGAATTTACCGAAATATCGGAGTAACGTGTCACAGATTAAGGAGGGGCACACAAAATAGCTTACGAAAGCATTCTTATTAAAATGCGGAACAAACAAATAAAATAATTAGGCATTCACGTAACATTTTAATATTTTTACGCTTATGTAAACGCTTTTGGGCCCAGCTGCAGAATTTGACCTTGACCGAGTTTCCCTCGCAATCGGCCATCTTGCAAAAATGCCGCATTTTGGTAACTGATTAGTAAACATTGTTATATTTTCAATAAAACGGCCAAAGAATAGTTGCAATTATTTTACTTACTATAAAATATTAAATACTAGCTTTCGCCCGCGACTCCATCCGCGGAATTAAAAAAGAAGTGAATAGCCTATGTGTTCTTCCAGATTCATCCGTTCAGCCGTTTAGGCTACAAACTCTAACAAACATCCATCTAAACTTTCACATTTATAATATTAGTAAGATAAATGTTTAGATGAATGTATATTTGTTTGAACTTGTGCGATTGTCGATTGTTTCGCAGCCAATTCAACTGTTTAGTTGCACAACTAAAAATCGCGTAGTTTCACCTCCATATAACCTCATTGGAATTGAAGCGAGACTGAACGGTTGTGCTATAGTTTAATCAAAGGTTTGCTATGAAGGAACTATCGTAAATAGTAAATTAAAATAGTGTTGCAATGCGTATATTCACTGTTAACTTTGCGTCGCTTTTTATTCGATACTGCGTTCCAGTTTATTCCAGTTTGTAAAAAAATTGTCACAGATAAAACTATGTAACTGGGTTGGTTCTATTTTATTTAATGTGTAAAAGGTATTATTATGTGAATCGAAAACTTTGTTACTTTTTATAATACAGTTAAAGTTATTGTGGAATTGAAATTTATCGAGATACTAGCTTTTACCCGCGACTCCGACCGCAAGGAAATATTAAATAATAGCAAGTATTCTACCATACTATCTCTCTATGTATGCCTTTCTTCGAGATCAGTTTGGCAATTAATATTACAAACTCTAGATTATTTCCAACCGTCACCCCGCTCTGTCCCCACGTGAGAATAAAAAGTGTCATCCATCCCACCTTTTAGTCCCACTATTACTAACAAGGTGACAGATGGAGCCGTTATGATATAAAATAAGTTCCAACCGTCCCCTTGTCGCATATGGCGGGACGGATGAAACTTTTTATTCTCATCTATCCCCACGTGGGAACATAGTTGGGAATAATCACAAACTCTAACAAACATCAATCCATCTAAATTTTTGCATTTATAATATTAGTAAGAACTTTATTTATAAAACAAAATTCCAGGCAGATTTAAGGTCCTTAAAGTGAGCGTCTCTTTCCACGTACGACGCACGTAGTTCTTCTAGTTTTAAGGTAATCTATGGACGTCAATGAACAATGTATTCCAGTTTATGTTTTAATAAAAAATTCCAAATTTCCAAAATTGGGCAACTGCAGGTGTTTCGACATTTCACTCCATCTGTTTACATTTTACCGTAAAACAAACTTGATAAATGATTTCCATTACATTGTGTTGCTGACTGTACATATTTGTGACGTGTAAATTTTTTTTTAATTTAGTTGCCTTGATTTCGATCTAAATTATATTTGCCACCTGCAACTCCGTCAGGTTGTGATTAAAAAAAATAACCTGTGGTCTTCCAGATTTTCCTTTACATCTATGACAAATTTCATCGAGATCCGTTCTACAGTTTAGGTTACTCTAACAAACCACCATCTAAACTCTCGTATTTATAATATTAGTAAAATATTCGTAATAATTAAAAAACAAATACTACGTTAATATCATAAAATAAGTCATTTGTAGTTTTGTGCAAATAGTTGTAAATATATATTTTTTTATAATATAAGGTGGCAAACGAGCAAGTGGCCTGAATCCACCGAAATGGAAAGCGATCGCTTCTCATAAACATCTGCAAATGCAGATGCGTTACCTACCCTAAAATGACGAAGGAAGAGACGCACATAAAGAGGACATTTCCCATTCCTATGCGTCTCCTCCACCGTCAAATCCTTTTCTTTCCCATCCTTTCCTCATAAAAAAGGGTGGAAAGGGAAAGGGACTAAAATTAGGTCTCCGGCACTACACTTATTAGACGAAACGCGGAATTGCTTCCACTTCACGGCTGTCTGTGTGGTCGTGGTATTACACCGGGCGAGCCGGCCCATTCGTGCGAAGATGTTAAAGCGGGCTCTACCACTGTTGAAAATAAGACATTTTTGTGTTTTCATATTTTTGTAACTAGTAAAATAATAAACTTCTTGATCGATTTCAATAATTCTTTTACCATTAGAATCCTCCATTATTTCTGAGTGACTTGACTATATTTTATATTGTTTATAATAATAAAAAAATACCAGAGCAAAACCAAATCGAACCCCTAGTATTACTAATAGACAATTTAATATGTTTTTTCATACACTTTTATTATTACATGTTTTCTTAACTTCTTTTTATTTGTTTGTGAAAGCGACTGTACCTGTTAGTAAAATTATCGAAGCATTGACAAAATATCTCCACGAATGTCCACTCCACTTCACTAATTCGGTGTTAATATGTAAAGTATACAAACATACGATATTTGTTTATTAGCGTTATACATATGTATGGGAATATAATTTTTTTAATATAATTTCTCATTATTTTCATCAAAAATTAATGAAATAAAATCAATATATCTATACTATTATAATAAAGCGGAAACACACACTTCATTGTTGCCTAAGATGTCAGCAATTACAGCATATTTTCGAATAACTCTTTTTTTAATAAAAAGCCATACACTTACGTCACGCTTTAGGCTATATATTTTTACGCTGTTAAACTTAGGGCTAAATATTTGTGGGTAAAAATCCAAATGTGGGAAAGAGACCATAAGTTGTTGCCAACATCAAGGAAACAAGGTTGCCATGGATTCAGATTGATAATTTGACAAATGTGAACAATAAAATGATTTTTTTATAATTTTATGTGGATGAAGTCTCTTGGGAACAGCTAGTATAGAATAAAATTGAAATGTATATATGTGATATCTAAAAAAGAATCAGACCTCGTGAAAATTATGTTTTTTTTTTTTAAAGTTGTCTGTATGTCTGTCAAAAACATTTTCCTATATGATTAAGTATAGATTACTAGTTATATTCACAATTCCTCTTTATCTAATTTTAAGGCCTGCAATTACATTCATAATCGAAATCAATCAAAATTGCAAAATATTCGATGACTCTTTAATATTATTATCGACTCATTTGAATCGAACGTTTGCTAAAATTCAGCTGCAAAAAGAATCTCATTCAATCGGGACATAGATAAAGCCTGCAGCACACACGAAAGCGATGCTTGAGCGACGGAATATACAAGTTACTCTTTATTATGTCCGACTATAGCTTTCGGAGACTGTAATGATAGCAAACGCTAGTGGAAAAGGGTATTACGGCCATACTTGAACTAATATTAAACAATTACCTTCGTAAGCGCCACTTAGAATCTGACAGACGTGAAAATTTGAAAAGAGTTTAAGCGTATTCCAGACGATTTTACGTATTTAAATGTTTGAACGATCCGTTGAAATACATCAAATCCAGTTTCATAATCGCTTCGTTTTAATTTCGCTATCACTGTGTGTTACAAACGTAACCCGGGCATAGCTGCAGCGGTCATTTGATTATCCGGCGCCGGATATAACTCGATCGATCCGGATATTACTCGATTAGTAGCGTGCTAATGTTGTTAGCTTGAACACCTAACACTTACATCGTTACTTTGTTAAAACAATATGTTTCGAAACATGTTTGATTTAAAATAATAACAACAAAATCATATTAAGAGCGGTCGCACACTTCTGATTAAAATATCCCACAACTATTTTTTTAATGTCTTGCGCAAACGAACGGGCGGCTAAATTCGCTGAGTAAGCGAAGCGACCTCTGCCTATATACATCCAATTGCAGATGCGTTACCTATCCTTAACCATGGGAGAAGGAGACGCGCATAGAGAGGATTTTTCCTCTTCTTATGCGTCTTCCATCACATCATATAAGAAAATGGTGGGAAGGGAAAGGGTATAAAATTACGTTTAGTCGTGTTTTGATGCCTATAAGCTTGAACGGAGGTGTGTAAACTATATCGGTTTTTAGTTGTGCGAGTAAACAGTTGAATTGGCTGCAAAACAATCGACAATCGCACAACAGTGTGCGATTGTTTAGTCAATGGTGTGCGCATTCTCTAATATATTTAATTAAAAAATATTCATTATCTCAGTTATATGCATTGTTACGTCATATTACAAAACTCATTCATATAAAAGTCGGCGTAGCGACTGCAAAAGTGGAGCATTTTATTACAGTTTGCAATCTAACAAGGGAGTT